CCCACTGTGGGTGGTGCCACCCCTGGGCAGGTGAGCTTATGTTGCATATGAAAGCAGGCTGAGCATGGGCCAGGGGAGAGAGCCAGTAATCAGAGCTCTTCCATGGCTGGTGCTCCAGCTCCTGCCTCCAGGTTCCTGCCCTGAGTTCCTACCTTGGGCTCCCTGATGAACTGTGACCTGGGAGATGTGAGCTGAATAAACCCTTTCCTCCCTGAGTTGGTAGCGTTTAGAGTGTTTTGTCACAGCAATGGAGAAACAAACCAAAACACATGGGAAGGGTCACAGGAAGGTAGGGCAGAGGAGGGGGTAGGAAGAGGAATAACCAAAACTAAAGATGTATGGAAAAGCTTACTTCTTTTTCTTCTATTAAATTTGTTCTTTTGATAATATCATACTTAGTGAATTCTGATTACTATTACCCTTCTCTTCCTAGCACCTCTGTTCCCCCAAAGTGCACACACACACACACACACACACACACACAGAGAGAGAGAGAGAGAGAGAGAGAGAGAGAGAGAGAGATTTGTGTCCTCTGTTGTGTGACCTATCAAGTCTAAGCAGGACTGTCTGTGTGACCATGAGTTTGCTACTATTCACTGGTGCATAGTGAGCTAGTTCATCATCGGTGTACAACTGAAGACAATGTCTGTTCCCCACCCCAGAATCCACCAGTAGCTCATAGGTCAGCAAGGAGGCATAGACCCATATGGGCCCCTCCCCAATTTATGATTCACTGTTGCCAGGCCCATCTTGTGCAGGTCCATGTCAGGCAGCAGCAGCTGCTGCTGAGAAATCATGATCACGTTGGCAGTGTCGTGCCCACAAAGCAGCATTTCACAAGTCTTCTCCCTGTCTTCCAAGCCTTGCATTCTTCCCACCATCTCTTCCGCATTGTTCCCTGAACCTTAGAGGGGGTGGTATGAATGTCCTGTTTAGGTCTGAGCACTGGAGCATCACACATTCTCAGTATCTCAAGCAATCATGTGTCTGCATTTTCTGCCTTTCATTGAAGGGAAGTTTTTCTAATACCAAAGATAGCATTTGCCTGTGGGAATAAATAAAAGTATTTAGAAGGAGGCTTTGAACTATGTCAATTTAGCTAAACAGAAATAGCAAATTTTCTGCTAGGGCCGAAGACCCTTTCAGTCATGTGTTTAAGCTAA